CAGACAGGTAGTGAATGCGTGCCATGACGTGCAGCGCGTGTGCACGTGTATGTGTGGAGAGGGGTAGGTAAACACGGCTCTTTTTAGATACCAATGTTTTGTCTAAAATCTCCTGTTGTGTTGGTAATGTGAATGTCTGGTGTTATGAAATGAAACAAAAAGATAAATAGCATAAAGGAGAGAGCTGGATGCGTTTGTTTGCTTGCATGTGTATTTCTATGAATGCGTGTGTGTGACGGAAAGTGTCTTCATTTTTGGTCTCTCTGGTCTTATTCTCTCCATTGATTCTTTCCCTCGGATGGAAATGACACAGGAAGGTCACATATCTCTCCTGCACACGCATTGAGATGCTCCCAGTTCTCTTTCTGTCTCCCGCGCTCTGCACTCGCTCTCCAATTATCTCGAAAGTGAACGTCTTGTCCCGTTGCATTGTGTTTTGGAGCTCTTCACAGACCATAACATTTGAGAAGTTAACAGAGGGTATTGTCCCTCTTGTCTCCGTCTTTCTCTATTTGCTATTCTTGCTTCCTCTCCCTGTGCTTCCCTCGCTCTTGGAGGTGAACGTCTTGTCCTGTTCCACTGTGTGTTTGAGCTCCTCAGACTGTGACACTTGAGAAGTGAATAGGTGGTTTCAGGGCCTTGCAGAGAACAAGAGGTGCTCAGCTACTGAATAAAAAGACTGCGGTGTACTCTGCTCGGCGCTGCGCTGAAAACAACTCATCCTTGAGCCACAATTGGACTTAGAACACTGCTAGCAAAAGTGTCACTTTGACAACTTTGGAGAAAAAAGGAAGGGGTAAACAGTGTTGTTTAAGTTTTGGTGGTGACAACAGACAAGGGATTATGCTGTGTACAGACCAGCAAAGGCACTATGTCATTGCATTAGTATGGCAGGGGTCCCAACTGCTGACGCAGAGGTCTCCCACTAAAAATGTTGGATTTTCGAGCAAAGCAACGTCATCCAGCAGCGTACTGTTGGCCAATGAAGCACAAAATCCAGGTAGGATACTTCGTTTCTACTTTTTTACTTAGTGATCCTCAAAAAAGAACATGTTGTGATTTCTGCTCTCATGAGTTTTCTGTCTCACAGTATTATAAACTTCTGAGAGGTGTTATCTGATGAACTTTCCAATTAATGGATGTTTTAATCAAACTGGATCATATTCCATCTTCCACTGGTACCTGTAGCAACACGCCAACGCAGCCTTTTCTCTTTTTTTTTTAATGCAGTGCTATTTTTAGTCTGACCACCTGCTTGGAGAAGCAGGTTTGAGTTGATTTTCAATTCAAAGACAATCAAGTGAAAGGAAGGAGTCGCGCTCTCTGGTCCCTGAATAATGAGTGATAATGTGCCCTTGAGAAAGATAGAGACTGGGACTGAGGGGAAGCGGACACAGGGTGAAACTGAAAAACACCATCTCAGCATATTTACAATAAAATATAATACTGCATTAGTTTCAGTTCCCTTGCAAAAACTGGTACGTGGCAGAGAGTGATTTATTTAGCTCTGCAGAAATATGTAACAAAAGAATGAAACCATTCCCTACTCTCCCTTGAACCTCACTAAAACTAACTAAGCCAGAAGACAGTGGAGAAGTGTTTACTTCCTGTCAGCTTATGTCATTCACATACACTGCAACAGGAAACAAACTGGGACATATGCTTATATTTACAATGTGAAATGCGGAACAATGGATGTCACTGTCAAGTTTCAAACTAATCTACGTGAAACACCTCGAGAGTGGGGAGTTACTAATGATGCGTTGATAATAACGCATTATAACGGTATTTTGGGAATACAAATAACGTAGCAACAAGTCAACAGATTGAATTTGGACAGTACTTATGACTGATTTAATGAGACACAAATAAGACAGACTTGCTAATAAACAGCATGCGAGGAGCAGCCATCTTGGATTTGGAGGTCAGGGACGGTGGGGTTAGAACGACTTTCAGAAATCTGACTTTCTGAAATCCGACTTTCAAAAATCCAACTTCAGGCGGTTCCAAATTCTGACTTCCCAGTTCAAATGGGATGCAGCATAAATAAGATTAAGTGTCCCAGCATGCACTGGACAAAAGGGAGATGCCATGGACAGACTGCCAGACCAGATGCTGCATGTCCAAAACAGATTCATACACAACAGGAAATCTGTTTTTCAATCAACCCAACTTGCATGTTTTTTTAAATGTGAGAGAAAACACACATAAAAAGGAAACTCATGTAGGTAGTGGATGGTGTCACTTCCTGTCTAACGTCATTTACTTCACTGTCCTGTAATGTATGAGTTGGTGTATTTTTGTGTGTGTGTACCTGTAGCTGTATCTGAGCTGCATCCCCGTGTTTGTATACACAACAAACATACTCTCGGCAGGAAAGTTCAGTGCAATATGTGTGTTTCTGTGCCCGAGTGTGTGGGTGGGAGGCATGGTGTTTGTGTGTAACCGCAGCGCTCTCCTTCTCAGCAGCCCACCATTAAACCTTGGTGCCAGCCCTCTCCCAGCACACCAGGATTAACAGCACTTAAATGGGCCTGTTAGTACACCACCTCCTCTTTGCCTCCCACGCCGACTAGTGCACATGGTGCTGCCCACAGCTTTGCGCCTGCAACGCACACTGTCTCTGTTGTTTTTTGTTCTCCGCTTGCCGCAGCCACCTAAGCCTCCTCCAATAAATGGTGCTGAAGTGTACTCAGCGGGGGGCTAAGCCCAGAACATCCTCTATTTTATGGACCTATTGGAATCTGAGTGGATGACAGGGGGAGGAAAAGGAGGGAGGGAAGATCCCGTGACTGAACCAGATGGGCTATGATCAAAATATCTCTCTCTCTCTCTCTCTCTCTCTCTCTCTCTCTCTCTCTCTCTCT